CCTCAGAATTCAAAAAATTATCTGAGGAGCTTAAAAACAACAATGATTCTCTGGCTCCACTCCCAAGTGTGGGGTGGGACCTGGGATGTGCATTTTTAATAAGCTTTCTGGGAATTATGTTCCAAATAGTCCATAAACCCCAACATGAAAAACAGTCATGGAACTTTCATGGAAAAAGGCCAGTTAATTGGAGGGGTTCATCAAAGAGCCACCTGAGCACTAAAAAAACAGAAGAAAATGGGCAAAGCGTTGCAGACAAGCACCCAGGGCCCACAACTGATGTGTCCACTTCCTATGTAAATGATTTCACTGGGGAATCATGTCTCGATATGCATGTGGCATGACAGAACCGTTGAAGAGGAAAAGTGCTTCTGGATCTGAGACAGAGGTTTCCAACTCCATACAGGATAGAGAAAGCACGGTTAGCACATGAAGAGTAAGGATGTGTTTACATCACATTTCTAAGGAGTGAGATGGAAACTCTGATATGGTGGGAAGTCAACTCTGCCATTTGTTGCATGTGTGACAGTTCACTTGGCCTTCTAGCTTCCAAACTCTATGGAGGAGGCTACAACCTACCTCAAGGGACGGTTGTCAAGACATATTTCAATAAAGCCCTCTGTAAACAATAATGTATCAAGCAAACAAAAACCAGTATAATGATAACAAATTGGAGGTTACTAACTTTCTTAAATGCTGATTACAAGATTTTTGTAAGCATTTTGCTAAGAAGTTGGAAAGAATGGCAGATTAAGTGTCACAAAGCCCAGCAGTGTGCCAAAAAAGAGGTGGGAGACGGCTGACTGGTGAGATCAGAACTCACAGAACATTCCAGAGGAATGTGGGAAAACATCCCTTTCTCCAGTGGTGGCTAAGGGTGAGAAAGACAGCATTCCAGGTACAGTTCTGTTTTACACAAATTACCCCTAGTAAAGTGTAGGCAATGTTCACTGCACTTGGGCTAAAGCCAGTGAGAGCCTAGCAACTTCTCTCTCAACTACTGCCCATGGAGGTGACAGGGACTTCTGACCTTACACTAAGAACTCAGGAGAGGATTTGGGGTGGCTTCTTTCAAAGAGGGCTGGGCCACGAATCTAGGCTCAGCTTAGCTACTACTTTTGGACAAGGAAGAACATGTGCCCAGTGAACTTGTCTGTTTTTGAAGCGGGGGTTGTAGTGAGGGACGGAAGGTGGCATTTCCCACTGCAGTTCACTTTGAAAAATGCCAATCTTGTTTCACTTTAATGTGAAGAGAAAGAACAGACCCAACAGAGGGTGAGAACAATTGCCCAGGGAGGCCCGATGTGACAGCAGCAGCGGCCAGCCCGTCTAAGGGATGGGAAGGAACCAGTTCATGTCTGCGAGACAGGTGGGAAAATTGGAAAGGAAAGACGTCAGCTAGATTTGCTGATTCCCTTCTGTATCCTGGGAGGCCCTGCCTCCCACCTGAGCTTGTTGTTTTTGTCAGGAGCTTTACTTGGCTCATATATACGGTCTCTTTAAAAGGAAAAAAGTGGAAAGGTGATTTGCTATGTTAGGTCCAGAAAAAGCTTCTGAACATGGAGACCACAAATTTTTTTTCTTTGATATCTTGCCAATCAAGGTATCACAATAGCTGGTGGGTGGTTCCTTATATGTCATAAAAGAAAATCATCTAATTACCTTTTAGTTCTACAATGTACATGGCAACATTTATGGGAGTAGCATTCAGTGGGGTAGGTGATTAAAATGACAAGTGAGGGGGACCTCTTAAAAGGAAATATACCTCAAATATGAAAAAAAGTGGTATCTAGTCCTAAAAGGTATATATGCTACACCTTAGCACATCATGTACAATTACAGGAAAACAAGGGAACGAATGAGCCTGGAAAATATGAGCTGCCCAGAGAGCAAGAGTCCAAATCCAAATGCAATGCTGTGAACACGAGGAGTTCCTGTCCACTTTACAGGGGACTGTGATGTAGGAAGAAACTGAAAATGAAAGTAGTGTGGAAAGAATTTGAACATTACCGTGAGAAAGCAAGCTATATTATATTAAGCAGTTATTTCTGAGGTCAATATCCTTGTGCATTAGTTATGTGGTTCCCACTACTGAAGTAACCAGAGCTGAATATAAGGAAAATAAAGATATTTTAAAGCTGTTTTAGGAAAAAACAAAAGAATGGCAGTTTTGCAGGGAAGTCATGTGTAATTTTGTAGAGAACAAACTGAATTATAGCTAATAGGAACCTCCAGGGCGGGAAAACAGCATTTGGCCAGGAGAAGGGGCTGAGGAACAGGTGACAGGCAGCCGACTGGCTTCTGAAATGCCCCAGCAACGGGTTTTCCAGTTCGCTATCAAAGACTTGAGGCGGGCTGCTATAAACAAAATGATGACGAGTTCTGCTCACAGAAAAGGGCAACGAGGAGGAAAGAACTGTGATCCTGGGAACAGCAGAAACACTGAATCCTACTCACGTGAGAAAGGAGTACGTCAACTCATCAATAGGGTACATGTAAACATGTCACCAAGAGGGAGCAAAAAGACAATAAAATTTACTGGACCATATTCTTAAAAAAATGCTATGTTAATGATAGAAACTGGGTAAGTTTGATTACAGAGAAACAGTTTTGAATATGCAAATGTATTAAGTGTATAACTTAAATTACTGTAAAGCTCAAATATGACACTAAGTGAAACCATCTGCTAAATGTCACGTCTGCCCATATGTCCGGCAGCACAGTTACTGAGGACCGTGGCCAGGTCCATGAACCTGTACTACACAGAGACATTTAATGGCTTTTTTTTAAAGATTTTTATTGGGGAATTTGGGGGATGGGAACAGTGCTGGGGAATTGGGGGAAGGGGAACAGACAAGCTGCTGTCCTTTCGTTCTTCAGTCTAGTTACGGAGGATGTCGCTTCACTGGCCCAAGCTGGCACCATCATTGCGCTCTTCCCTGGCGAGGCAGATCAGTCGCCGGCTTCTGGACGGCTGCTCACTGCG